ATGCCATCTGCTGGCCCTATTCTAAAGTTGGTATTTGACCATTAAGGTGTGGTGGGGAGTGGGACTTTTGCAGCTACTGAGAACCAATGATGCTTGATTATTAATTTATAGGTATCAGGGTCTCCTCTGTCAGATGATTCAGCGAGGGATTCGCCTGGAATGGAACACCAGCACTGAGGATCATTTTGCTTCTGAACTGGGTAGGTCTGACTTTTCCTACTTAGAGCTGTGTAACCTGTAAAACCTTAAGCAGTAAGAATTCTGCACCTTCATTTGGCCACTATGGATTGGCTGCTCAGGCTCCACTTGCTACTGCCAGACTCTGTTCAGCTCCAGCCCCTCTCAGGCTGCCTCTCCAGGTTTTGCAGGCTAACCTGGGCTGGGCTCCACTTGGACCCAGCAGACCTAGCTCCCCTCTGACCCTCGTGGGGTTTCTTGCGTACGACCTACTTGGGCCCTGCTGGCCTCTAGGCTCTGTGAGAAGCCCCTCCTGGGACCTAACTGGACATGCTTCAGTACCTCGTGGCCCCACTCCTGTTAGGACCTCACAGATCCCCCTGCCAGGGTCTGCAAAGGCCCACTCAGGTCTGTGTGGCTAGGCCTGTGAGCTGTTCTACCCAAGCCCAGCTTGGTTTTGATGGCCTCCAGGCCACATGAACTGACGCCTCCAGGCCCTATGTGGGCATGCATGGGTCTCACTTGGTCCTACCTGCCTCCAGGACACATGAACCAACACCTCCAGGCCCTATGTGGGCATGCGTGGGTCTCACTTGGTCCTACCTGCCTCCTGGACACATGAACCAACACCTCCAGGCCCTATGTGGGCATGCGTGGGTCTCACTTGGTCCTACCTGCCTCCAGGCTTCACCAACTCCCCTAGGCCCTATGTGGGCATGTGTGGGTCTCACTTGGTCCTACCTGCCTCTAGGACACATGAACTGACACCCCCTAGGTCTTGTGTGGGCATGTGTGGGTCTCACTTGGTCCTACCTGCCTTCAGGCTTCACCAACTCCCCTAGGCCCTGTGTGGGCATGTGTGGGTCTCACTTCGCCCTACCTGCCTCCAGGCTTCACTGGCTCCCCTGCCAAGGCCCCACTCAGTCCACTTGGGCCCACTCCCTTCAGGGCCTCCTGTTAGAAAGGCTCAGGCCCTGCTTGTCCCTCACCTATCCCTGAACCCCCCAGACCCTGTGAGGCCTGCTGGGCTCCACCTGCTGCCCCTTACCTTGAGTACTCCTGCTTGGACCCCTGCTCCTTCCGAACTCCATTAAAGGCATACTGCCTGAGCCCTGCTCACCCTGGAAAAACACTGAGGCCCCCTACCTGGGCTCACACAGTCCCAACTGCCTACTGGCCTTAAAGAGGAGGCCAGTGGGGCCCCACCCACCCCGAGCCAGTTAGGTCCTTTCCACAGCCTCCTTCCTCCTGCTGTATCAGCAGCCCCTGCCCTGGCCCATCCCACCTGCCAGAAATCACTTACTGTAATCTCTGAAAATATAGATTTCTATACAATGATGTCAACCAGAACCATGCCAAAATAATTCATTTAACTAGCATTAGAAGTCACAGCCATAGGAAAAAATAATTACCAAATTAAAAGAAAAATACTGCCAATATAGAATCTACTCCATAAATCAGGAAGAAATGGGTGCTCTATCAGATGCCTAAATGTCAATATAGGGACATAAGAAATATGAAAAACCGAGGACACATTTACCCTTCAGTGACCACACTAACTCCTCATTAAGAATAGATAAAATATGGAACCAGCAATTGGCGTAATGGCTATGTCACTGGACTCCCATGTAGTCAACTGCGGTTTGAGTCCCGGACCCGGTAGCTTAAACTCACACTGGGCATGTGTGCGTGCGTGCCCAAGATCCCGAGAGGAGAATGGAGGAGAAGGGATTGTGGCATGGCCATCTCCCCTGGGGGGTGATTTCTCACTTTCTGTCTCTCTGTCTCTCTCTGTTTTTCTGGCGAGTGCACACACCCTATAGCAAAACCTCTCCAAAAAAAAAAAAAAAAAAGAATAGATAAAATACAAGAAAGCACAGGAGTGTCAGAAATGGAATTCAAAATATGATCATAGAAAAACGCAGTGAGGTACAAGAGAATACAGATAATTTCAGGAGATGAGTAAAACATTTGAGATTTTCAATAAATAGCCATTTAAAAAAAAAGACAAACAGAAATTCTAAAGTTGATAAGTGCAATACAGGAAATAAAAAATTCTGTACCAGGGCCAGCAGGTGGTGTGGTGGTTGAAGGCACTGGACTCCCACAGAGCCAACCATGGTTCAAGTCCCAGATTTCGTGGCTTGCTCTCGCTCTCTCTCTCTTTTTCTCTCTCTCACTCACTCCCTCTCTGGTCAAAATAAAATAAGTAAATAAAGTTAAATAATTAAAAAAAAAAAAAGAAATCTGTAGTGAGCATCAACAGCAGATTATACCAAACCAAAGAGGGAATCTCTGAACTTGAAGACAGAATTTTCTTTTTTTTTTTTTTAACAGAGATTTTTGCTGTAGAGTGCCTGTACTTGCTGGAGAGAAGGAGACAGAAAGTGAGAGATCACCCCCTAGAGGGATGGTCATGCTGCAGTCCCTTCTCCTCCATTCTCCTCTCTGGATTTTGGGCATGCATGCACATGTGCCTGGCGTGAGTTTTAAGCCACCAGGTCTGGGACCTGAACCATGGTCGACTATGTGGGAATCCAGCAGTGTAACCATTCTGCCATCTGCTGGTCCCGAGGCAGAACTTTTAATTTTTTTTGGAGGGGAGGTTTTTGCCTATTATAGGGCGTGTGCACTAGCCAGAAAGACAGAGAGAGATAGAGAGACAGAAAGCAGGAAATCACCCCCCAGGGGGATGTCCACACCACAACCCCTTCTCTTCCATTCTCCTCTCAGGATCTTGAGCATGCATGCACATGTGCCTGGCGTGAGTTTAAGCCACCAGGTCTGGGACCTGAACCATGGTCGACTATGTGGGAATCCAGCAGTGTAACCATTCTGCCGTCTGCTGGTCCCGAGGCAGAACTTTTAATTTTTTTTGGAGGGGAGGTTTTTGCTTATTATAGGGCGTGTACACTAGCCAGAAAGACAGAGAGAGATAGAGAGACAGAAAGCAGGAAATCACCCCCCAGGGGGATGTCCACACCACAACCCCTTCTCTTCCATTCTCCTCTCAGGATCTTGAGCATGCATGCACATGTGCCTGGCGTGAGTTTAAGCCACCAGGTCTGGGACCTGAACCATGGTCGACTATGTGGGAATCCAGCAGTGTAACCATTCTGCCGTCTGCTGGTCCCGAGGCAGAACTTTTAATTTTTTTTGGAGGGGAGGTTTTTGCTTATTATAGGGCGTGTACACTAGCCAGAAAGACAGAGAGAGATAGAGAGACAGAAAGCAGGAAATCACCCCCCAGGGGGATGTCCACACCACAACCCCTTCTCTTCCATTCTCCTCTCAGGATCTTGAGCATGCATGCACATGTGCCTGGCGTGAGTTTAAGCCACCAGGTCTGGGACCTGAACCATGGTCGACTATGTGGGAATCCAGCAGTGTAACCATTCTGCCGTCTGCTGGTCCCGAGGCAGAACTTTTAATTTTTTTTGGAGGGGAGGTTTTTGCTTATTATAGGGCGTGTACACTAGCCAGAAAGACAGAGAGAGATAGAGAGACAGAAAGCAGGAAATCACCCCCCAGGGGGATGTCCACACCACAACCCCTTCTCTTCCATTCTCCTCTCAGGATCTTGAGCATGCATGCACATGTGCCTGGCGTGAGTTTAAGCCACCAGGTCTGGGACCTGAACCATGGTCGACTATGTGGGAATCCAGCAGTGTAACCATTCTGCCGTCTGCTGGTCCCGAGGCAGAACTTTTAATTTTTTTTGGAGGGGAGGTTTTTGCTTATTATAGGGCGTGTACACTAGCCAGAAAGACAGAGAGAGATAGAGAGACAGAAAGCAGGAAATCACCCCCCAGGGGGATGTCCACACCACAACCCCTTCTCTTCCATTCTCCTCTCAGGATCTTGAGCATGCATGCACATGCACACGGTGTGAATTTAAAGCACCGGGTCCAGGACTCGAACCAGGGTCAACTACATGGGAGTCCAGTGACATAGCAATTACCCCAACTGCTGGTCCCCTGAGATGGAACTTTTAAAATAGCCCAAAACATCCAAAAGGAAGAAAAATACATAACTGTTAAAATGCAGACAACATGTAGAAAATCTGAAACACGGTTAAGTGAGCAAAGATGTGCAGAAAGCAAGGAGATGAGAAACCTGTAGAAAATCTATTTAATGAAGCATTATCTGAAAACTCCAAGTCTAGAGAAAGATACAGATATCCCAGGAAATTCAAAGCTTTTTCACTAAAAAAATGGGAACAAGGCAAGGTTGTTCACTTTCTCCACTCCTTTCTAACACAACATTGGAAGTTCTAGCCAATGCAATCAGACATGAGAGTGCAGTGAAAGACATTCAAATAGGAAAAGAGGAAGTGAAACTGTACTGATCTGTACTTAAGACAACATGATTACACATATAGAAAAACCTCTATTTTGGGGCCAGCAGGTGGCATGGTGGTTGAAAGCACTGGTTTCCCACATGGCCGACTGCGGTTCAAATCCCAGACCTAGCAGCTTGCTTTCTCCCTTTCCCTTTCTCTCTCACTCTCTCTTTCTATCTCTCTGGTCAAATGAAATAATAATAACAAATGGAATTAAATAAATAAATAAATATTAAAAAACCAAAACCTCTATTTTATTTATAAATTCAGTAAAGTTACAGGTTTCAAAATCAACCTACAAAAATCTGCATTTTTGTACACTAACAGCAAATGAACTGAGATAGATAAGAAAGCAGTTCATTCATAAAAGCCATACGCAAGCACACAAACCTTGGAATAAATCTAACCAAAGAGATGAAAGGCCTCCATAATGAAAACTACAAAAATTGAGGAAAGGAATTGAAAAATGATACAACAAAATCCCTTGTTCTTAGATTGGAAAAATCAATATGACTAAAATTTTGATACTACGTAGACTAATCTACAAATTCAGTGAGATCTCTATCAATATACCTGTAACACTCCTCATGGAAATAGAAAAAAAAAAAAGCATGAAATTTATCTGGAATCACAAAAGATTCAAAATTGCAAAAACAATGCTATGCAAAAAGAATAAAGGTAGAGGCATCTCTCTACCTGACTTCAAAATACATTCTAAAGCTATAAATCAAAACAGTATGGTACTGACACAAAAACAGATACACAGACCAATGAAATGAGTAGAGAATCCCAAAATAGTCCAACAACATACAACCAACTGATTTCTGACAAAGGTTCCAAGGCAATCCAGTAGAGAAAAGACATTGTTTTCAATAATTGGTACATGGAAGACGGGATACCCATCTGCAGAAGAATGAAACCAGACGCCTATCTCTCATCATTGGCAAAAACTAATTAAAAATAGATTAAAGAATTGACATAAAGCCCAAAACTATACAACTGTTTGAAGTTACTTGTGGAAAACACAGGGGAAATACTTCAAGACATTGGGGTAGGTAAGTTGGTAAATATTTCTTAAATATGACCCCCAAAGCACAGGTAACAGCACCCAAAATAGATAAGTGTGATTTAAAATCTTCACAGCAGAGGAAACAAGAAAGAGAATCTGCAGAATGGAAGCAGGGGTGGGAGATTGGGGCTGATTTCAGGAGAAAATAGTTAACAAAAGAAAGCAGCTAAACAGATGAAATAGATAAGCTATGGAATGAGATACCACACAGAGTAAAAAATGGCATGGAAAATTCAATACATATATTTTAAACAAAAAGCGTAGAACTATTTAAAAAAAAAAAAAACAGAGTTTTTTCTTTTTCTTTTTTGTTAGAGAGTTTTTTGGCCATAGGATATGTGCTCTGACCAGAGAGACAGAGACAGAAAGCAATAAATCACCAACTCCCCCTGGGGGAATGGCCGTATCACGATCCCTTCTCCGTTCTTCTCCTGGGATTTTGGACGTGCATGCACACGTGCCCAGTGTGAGGTTTAAGCCACCAGGTTCACAACTCAAACCATGGTTGACTATGTGGGAGTCCAGTGACATAACCATACCATTTGCTGGTCCCTTAACAGAGATTTTTTTGTTATAGGGTGCGTGTGCTCAGCAAACAGAAAGCGAGAAATCACCCCCCACAAGGGATGGCCACACTGCAATCCCTTCTCTTTCATTCTCCTCTTGGGATTTTGGGCATGCATGCACACACGTGTGATGTAAGTTTCAAGCAGCCTGGTCCAGTATTCAAATTGTGGTGGACCATGTGGGAGTCCAGCGATGTAACCATTACACCATCTGCTGGTCCTGAGTAGAACCATTTTAAAATATACACAACATAACGTGTGTTCATTGTTGAAGAAGATGGATATGTCTATATATTACACTTTACACATGCTTTGAAAAATTATACTGTCCTCTACTAAGAGGTACAATGATTTTATGTAAACTAAAAATTACAGTAAAAACAATATAAACTATCCTGTAGCCAGCTAAAGACTCCGTGTTTTCAACCAAAACTTTCTCTCATGATTGGTTACATAAGAACTCCTGATAAGGAGCTGTGCACTTTCAAAAAACCAGAGGTACGGGAACCAGCAGTTAGCATAATGGCTATGTCGCCGGACTCCCACGTGGTCGACCGCAGTTTGCGTCCCGGACCCAGTGGCTTAAAACTCACGCAGGGCGCGTGTGCATGCGTGCCCAAGATCCTGAGAGGAGAATGGAGGAGAAGGGATTGCAGTGTGACCATCCCCCCTGGGGAGCGATTTCTCGCTTTCTGTTTCTGTGTCTCTCTGTCTCTCCTGTGTGCCCTATAGCAAAAATCTCTCTCTATAACAAAGGTCTCCTGTATTTTATTACATATATTTATGTAAATTTAAGGCGTCAAGTATTCAAGGACACATGCTTATCTCCCTCATCACTCAGTTGCCCGGTGGGCTTGTAAATCAGATAATCTGTTAACCTCTACAAAGCGTTTTTAGCATACGTGACATTATATTCCTGAATTCATAGGACCAGCAGATGGCCCAATAGTTACGTTGCTGGACTCCCATATGGCTGAGTGTGGTTTGCGACCCAGACCTAGCAGCTTAAAACTCACGCTGGGTATGTGTGTGTGCGTGCCCAAAATCCCAAGAGGAGAATGGAGGAGAAGGGATTGCGGCGTCGCCATCTCCCTGGGAGGAGGTGACTTCTTGCTTTCTGTCTCTCTGTCTCTCTAGCGAGTACATGTGCTCTATAGCAAAAATCTCTCTCAAAAAAAAAAAAAAAGGTTGGGCTTGGGAACCAGCAGTTAGTGTAATGGCTATGTCGCTGGACTCCCACGTAGTCGACCCCGGTTCGCGTCCCGGACCTGGTGGCTTAAAACTCACGCCGGGCGCGTGTGCGTGCGTGCCCAAGGTCCCGAGAGGAGAATGGAGGAGAAGGGATT